GGAGCTTGTGAGCAGGATAAAATGTCTGTCATGCAGGTGTTGGGAGCTCAGCATGTGGTACATTTTGTGGCTGCTGGGGGCAGTGAATTGCATCACATAGTGTTTCCTGCTTGTAGAAAGCAGGCTGGATTTAAGCTGCTGCTTACTGAAGCGTATACATCTCTGATTTCGTTTATAAGGTGCTTCTCTACTCTGCCTTCTGCCTGACTTCAGACTAACATGACTAGCCACCTCTGCCTGTGTCTCACTTTTTCCCCACACACACACACACACACACAGACCACATGCATACATGCCAGCCCGCACTTTTGACATTGTGGGCGCATCTACACGTTCATCAATGCACTGTAGTTACTGCATGTTAAGTTTAGTACTTGGATAACCAAGAACTAAATCAATGAGCAGTAATTTGAGTTACTGCCCAGTAGCACCGGTGCACGAGTTTTTAGTGATGCTTTCTGTGCTGTAGCTTAATAAAACTGCACAGTAGCATATTAGCATGGGTTTTGCCTGGTATGCTGCTGCATAGTGTTATTAGGCTACTGCGCAGTAAGCGTCCTGTGTAGATGCACCCTGTATATCTTAGTCAGCTAGACATGAAAAACAGCAGCAGCCACCAAAGCATCCAAAGAGGCTGTTCTTTCCAGCAAATAGTGCAGTGCTCTGACTTTCACCTCCAGAGCCTCCAAAAGCAGTCCCATCTCTGGCATGCTCTGTCTTGGGTTTCTGCCTTACTGCAGACTGAATTGGTGGGCATGAATAACCTCTGCTGTAGAGTTGCATTTCACTGTCTGAGCTACAACTGTGAGAAACAACTGGCCCTTTACTGCCATACTGGGATTGCAGTGAGTCCTAGATGAAAACTGGAATTGTCAGCAACCTCTCTCCCCCCAGGGTTAACAGAATAAGTGTGAGACTGGTACAGAACTGGCTCAAAGGGAAACAAGAAAGGGTAGAGGGGCAGTATTGCAGAGGCAAATGCTGGGGTGGATGGGGGTTACTAGCCAAGTTCCTCCAGGATCAGTCCGGGGACCAGTTTCATTTAAAAACCTCATTAATGACAGTGGTGTAGGTTGTAGCCGTGTTGGTCTAAGGACGTAGGAGCCAAGGTTCTTTGGGTAAAGATGTAAGATTTACCCAAAGAACCTTGTCATTAATGCCAGTAGCACAGAAAGCTACTGCTAAAATTTGCTGATAAGGTAAAGTTAGGAGGCAACTTCAGTACAGAAAAGGACATAGATACCACACCGAAAGACCCGGATGTCTTTGACGACTGGAATCATCAAAAAAGGGATTACATTTGGTAATGTGAAATACAAGGTTGTGTGCATAGGGATGAATAGCAAGAATTTTGGCTGTAAGCTGGGGCTTAACTCTTGGGAGTAATGGAGGAGCGGAGAGGCCTGGAGTGGCTTTGAGCCAGCAATGAGATGCATCTAGGATTGCATTTACCTTTTCCATGGCCGTATCAGGAGAGATATTTCCAATACAGATAGGAGAGATCAGTACTGCTGCGATAAGTGCCTGGTGAGCGGGTGGAACACGGTGTACATTTCTGGTCACTCATATTCAGGAAAGATGAACTCAAACTGGATCAGGTCCAGGGAAGAACTAGGACATCCAGCGGAGTGCAGAGCCAGTTCACTGGGAGGATCTTGTTCACCCAACCACAACAAAGGCCATGGTGGCTGCCTGCATCTTCATCAGGGGCCTGTTTCAGGGGGTGGACAGTGTTGGCACAAGGACACATGGATGTAACATGGCCAGGAATAATGGCGCACACTAGAAAGTGGTTTCTAAGCCTTGGAGGCTTTGGGATCTCCCTTCTCTGGGAGAAGTTAGGGACAAACATATAAGCTGGTCTTAATTAACTGAAAGAAGGAGTTGTCTGACATGACTGCTGGCAGTAGCGGGGACCTGGGCTCCAACCTCTGCTCTTATCTCTGCCACATTACATCTGGAAGCAGAGGCTGAGTGACTGTTTGCACCTCCCAGGAGGTTTCAAGCCATTTCCTTCTAGAAGTAAGTGCTCCTCTGAAATGTGAGCCCAGACTGGGTTTCAGTTACAGGGGCAGGCCCTTAATCTGTCCTGGGAACAATCTTCATTGTTGCTTTCTGAATGGAGGAAAAGATATAAGAACCTGGAGGTAAAATAACTGAAAAGTGCATGCTTATTTTTCAATTAAAGACATGAAAGATCATTTCTTGCTCCTCCAGTGACCCAGGGCTCCCTCTGCCCCACTCCCATGCAGTCATTCGTGAGGAGCTGGCTGCTGGACAGGATGTGATGTGGTTTGGTTTGAACTGGAACTGGAACTGCACAGGGCACCCATTTGCGTGTCACCCATGCTCGGTGTGGCTTGCTGTCCCTCATGGTGGCTGGACCACATGGGCTGTAGCAGACTCAAGCCTCCTCGAGCTCTCAAAGCTGGGTCTTCCAGCTCCAATGTTTTTGTTGACCCAGAAGCGATGCCTTTGATGCCCAGTGCTGCCAGTCCAACCTTGGGCATTGTGCTATGTCAAAAAGTTATTTTAAAGACAAAGTGGGAAGATGGAGGAACAGAGAAGTTTATGGAGGAGAAGGGGTAAAGGGCTTGCCTTGGGATATGCCTCTGTATTTTCCCTGTGAGTTGAGTTCCCCGTTTCCCCTTTCTCTTCTCTTCCAGGCTGCTTGTGCTTATTCTCCTTCATCTGCAGCAGAGTCTAAAGATGGTGTCTTTGATGCTAGCAAGTGGTATGAATTCTCAGTACAGGAGCCCCAGCTATCCAGAGGGCTGAGAGAGAGGCATGCACCGTGTAGGGTAGTGATGACTAGAAAACCAGCTCCATAGTCCATTGGAGCACATCACTTTGTATACCTGGACTCTCACCTGTCTGTCCATGGATAAGTACCTTGCAGCCCTGAGCCCTTTGGTGAGGAGCTGCTTCCATTGCCATAACCAGAGCGTCCTGTTGGGCCGTTCCCTGGAGCCAGCCACAGGTGAGCGAGGTCAGGCTGAGGCAGGAGAGCCCAACCTGTGGCCAGTGGGGTGCTGAAATGGCACCTGTGACTGCCCTCCAGGCCGTTGCATCTCATCTACAGACCGAGGTGGATCTCACATCTGCTGGTCTCTGCATCCAGTGTGTAGGGCAGGGGGCCCAAGCAGCCCCTTACATGCTAGATCTGCCAGCCTGGAAGGGAAAAGACACAGGTTCCCATATTTTTCTCCTTTAAAGGAGAATTCATTTTTAAAGTTTATTGATCCATTTTTAAAGTTTGTTCATGACCCTTTCATATATCCTGACAACCCATGGTTTGAAAAACACTTCTCTAAAAGGTATGTTAGCCTGTCGTTGCAGTGCCCATGATATGGTGTGCTCTTGCTGTTTTCTATGCAATCTAGTGCCTCTTCTGGTTGTTGCCTTGCATTGAGCTGATAGTGTTTTTTCACTGAGCTGTCTAGAGTGAAGCCCAGGTCCTCTCTCTCATTACACACAGTTGTATAGACTCCAAAACCAAGTGTGAATATTTTCCACTGTGCATTCACCTTGCACTTTATCTAATTCCATTCCCAGTTGCCAAGTCCTTAGAGACTCTTCTGAGATTCCTTGCAGTCTGGACTAACCTGAGCAATTATGGTCAGCAGTCACCCTGCTGCTCACACCTTCCCCAGACTATTCACCAATGCATTCAAAGCTGGGACTAACTCAGATCTTTGAGGAGGTCTCCTGGGGTGAAAGATTGCTTCTTCCATCAAGCAGCCCACACCAGGACGTGAGTCACTTTGAAGCATGTGAGCAGGTCCGGTGGAGCCAGGGTGGGACAGCTTATCTGATTTAAATGACACGTGTGTCTGTGGCTTTGCTGGGCTTGGGGACTGGTTCTGTTTTCTGTCTAAGGTAAAAAAAAAATCCAAACAACTTTGAAAACAACCTTAAATGTTCCCATTGAAGACCCAGTTTTGAGAGCTTGAAGAGGCTTATGAGTCTGCTGCAGCCCACGTGGTCCAGCCACCATGGGGGACAGCAAACTGGGAATTGGTACAGCAGTCTCCTATTGCAACATGCCACCTAAGAGATCCAGAAGTGTTGCAGCCAACCATGGGGTAAGCCTTAGCTTCCAACTGTTTAGCGAAGGAAGCCGCTCGTGCCAAAGCCTGACTGCGCTGCATGAATTGGCTGAAGAAAATAACAACAACCACAAAGCTCAGTAGTGTAAGAGTGATGCTGTGGCCATGATGGTCCAAACATTATGTGAAAGGCAAGGATTTAATCACTTAATAACACATCTCCTTGCTGACCTCTTCCAGGTGTGAACAGGGATCAAGCGAAGCCGGGATGGGGCATTTCAGCTCTGCTGTGGGGGGTGGGTCTTGGGGTCTTTGCTCCAAAGCACATCCCTGCCTTTATATATAAATGTGATTTTCATGGCTGTAAGGTCTGGTTGCACAGGCCTTCCCCAGCCTTTGTCTGGTGCCCTGTTCTGCGGCAACCTGGGACTGGAAGGAACTGGATGTGATTATGACACATGACCATGCCATAAACACTGCCCATGTTTGTCCCTCCACCCCAACACGGACACGCTTACCCGCATCTCAGAACAGACTTGGGGTTGTTGGTACAAAACCTCTCCTGTAGGCTGCAGAAGGGAACGGAGCAGGCAAAGGGCTCGTTAGGGAGCTCTGTCACCCCTCACCAGAGTGTCCGACCCCTGACACTGCCAGAGAGGACATTTTATCTTGCGGGGAGAGAAATTTACCCTTTGTCTCCCTGCACCTTTGCCTATAGGTATTTTTTGTTTTCAGGCCAACTTCTCGGAGGAATAACGAAGCTTGGGAGCAGGCCATCATTGTGCAGGTCACCCTCATCTCCAGCTCCATAATTCACGGTGTCTGTATTTTTAAAACAGGGAGCTTTTACCAGGCAGAAGCTTTGGTGTCTCTTCCCCCTGCCTTCTCAGACCCAGCACCAGGTTCTGTAGCTGGGTCAACCCCTTATGAGATCTCTGCTATGTTTTACAGCAACTGAAGCACCCCAACCTGGTCAACCTGCTGGAAGTCTTCAGGAGGAAGCGGAAACTCCACCTGGTCTTTGAGTACTGCGACCACACGGTGCTCCACGAGCTGGACAAGCACCCGCGGGGGTGAGTAGTGGGTACTGGGCTTCGATTGGGGTCTGGCCCCCACGTCTGACTGGAGCTAGGGAGAGTCTGTGGTGGTGTTTATTGTGGTGGAGCAGGTCTGCTGGCGCAGTGTCCAGGCAGCACCGGGTTACCGTGGCTTAGCAGTGTTGTCCAGAAGCATCACTCGAGTGCCTGGGAGTGCTGTTGCTCGGCGCGCCTCACCAAGGAGACCACGTCGCCAGGCCAGAGCATGTGGAGTGATCTTTGGCTGGCTCGGGAGGGGAGCCAAGGGTTTGAGAGGACCTGAGAGGAGCACACAGCTCTCCCGTTTACAGGAGAACATGCCACGCTCGCTGGGGAGCTGCGCCTGCTTACACTTTCAGTGTGTTCTCTTCTTGGCAGGTGTTTGGTGCTGGCTCTGCCCAGCCCCTCTTCTCCCCCAGCTCCCCTGTGGGATCGTGGCTGATCTGTGGTAGAAACAGGGCCTTCATCTGCCTTTGATACACGAGAAGAATTCCCGGCAGCCCAGTCTGGACCGACGGGGAAATAGCATGGGGCTGAGATCTCCTCGTCCTCAGGAATGGTGGCTCTAGCCTTCGGATTGAAGCCCAGTGCCAAGCTGGCCTGTGAGAAGCCTGCACAGGCTGCCTGGTAGCTGTCTAGCATTGCACCAGAGGTCCAGAGTCCCTGGATGATTTGGGTGGAATATGAGGACAAGCTGATCAATTCAGAGTGGGGAAATACTGCTATAGGCTGCCTGGGGCTGTTGGGAACCTGTGGAGGTGTCCAGAGCAGGTCAGCCCAGCCTCTGCAAGGGTGATGTGATACTCGATAGATCAGTGGTTCTCAACCTTTTTTGTACCAGGACCTATTTGTAAACATCAATGCCCAGTCCCAACCCAGTAAAGACTGTAAGTTGAAAACTGCCCCCTGCCCCTGCCAGTGCAGGGGGGAGGTGTTAGTCACTTCTGGGACACTCCTCCCCTCATTCCATGTCTATAGATATATTCTCCTGCCCAGTTTTATTCTTCTCCAGTCAACTTTATTTCCAAGTCCCCCAAAGCCTTGTGCCTTGTGTGTGCCTGCCCCCAAAAACCCCACAGGAAGTCAGAAGTGCTTCCCTCAAAACAACTGCTTTCTCAAAGCAAGCACCATGCGAGCAGGGGAAAGAAAACCTTGGTCCTGCCAGCCCCTTCGGTTGTTTGATGTGGTATAACATGTCTCGAGGGAAATGTATGGCCAGGAGCGATGCCTGGTGGTTCAGTGCTATGGAAATGCTAAGCCCAAGTTGATAAATCATTCATGGGCCTTGCACCTAGAGGAGTGGCCAATAGGAGACACACTGAAGGGTTGAGCGGACAAGAGCTCCCTTCACTGGCACAGAGCCCCAGCAGAAGGATTGGACATGCCTGTGGGAGATTAGCCAGAGAGGAGCTTCTCTTCCAGACTCGCTAGAGACCCTATACTGGGAACATACAACAGTCACAGGGAAGATGCATCCAGTGCACAGAAATTCAGTCCTGCAGTTTGAGCACGTAACAGTTTTTATGTAGGCTAGATAGGCCACACGCTCTGCTTTAGAAAGACCTCGGGGTTTGCTGCTCTGAATGGACAGGTCTTGAATCAGAGACTGGGTTTGTACTGGAGCCAGTGTGTATGGTTTGGGGCATAATGGAGCTAATGACAGGCCCCAGGGCTCAAGCAGTTGGAAGGACTGGTTAGAACAGGAGTGAATGCTGGGAATCAAACCAGAACAAGCAAAAGTCTACACAGCGCTGGGGAGCTGAGAGGAGGCAGGATGGGGAGGTTGAGCAGGAGTCTGGACAGAGAGGGCTGGGAGCATTGGTCTGACCAGTGTGACGCTGCTTATTGCTAGGCTAAGAAATCAGGCTTGTTACTTTGGAGGAAGGGAGGATTCAGGGAAGGGTTTTTTATAAGACAACAGAGGTCTGCAAGACCTGAAAAGAAAAGGCCTGAGATTGCCAACTATGGCAATCTCAGCTCTGGCTTTCCTCGTTGTGCTGGAACCTTTGAATGTTTGAGGATGTGTGAACAAAATGTCGCGCCCTAACTTTTAAAAAGACCTCCCTTCTCCAGAATGCGAGTTGGGCATTGCAGATAAATGATGGCTGGGGAGAGACGAACAAAGCCCAAGTTCGACACAGCAGATAAAAATCACTTCCCTTCTCCTTTGCTCAATTATCTCTCTTGCCTCCAGTAACCTGATTACATCATGAGGCTGCCTGGTGCCACGGTATCTCTGAAACCCTCCTGCAGCTGCAGACTGGCTGCTTGGCATTTCCAGCTCTATTTCAGCAGAGCTAATGATGCCAGGGCAGGTGAACAGGGAGCACAGCCACAGGACAGGAGTCACTGTTTGCTACTGGTTCGTTATGTGGTTGCCAGTGGACAGGCATGAAGTTGGCCCCATCCAAGTGGCACCAGAAAGCCTGGGAGTGCTCTCAGCTGCTGCAAATTTTTCTTATCTAGTCATCGTAAATTAAAATGGCAAGCCCTTGTGGGGGCTGTCTGAGTCGGCTTGGTGCTTGGGAAGTAAATGGGGCTTTTTGGAGAGACCCGCAAGTTGCTGTAGACTCCATGGTTGGGTTGGAGTCTGAGCTCTAGAGAAGAGGCCTGCATGCCGGGAGGGTCTCTGTAGAGCTGCCTACTGGGCTGCTGGCAGGAGAGGAGTCAAACCACTGCTAGACATCACCTCTGTTGTCAGCAGTGGGAGGTGACTTCTCTGTTTTCCTGTCCCCTGCGTTGCAGAGCAGCTCAGGGAGGGCTAAACTCTGGTCTTGTACGGTGTTTGGTCTTAGCAAAGTCTGCCTGTGTGTGTTCTGTGGCATTTGCACTTCTGGTTTGGTTTTGCCTGCAGACGCTGTTAAATGGTGCTGCATTTCAGGGCATCCCCCTCTCACCTGCAGCACGGCTTCAGATTTTCCCTAAGTAATAATAACAATGAGCAGAGAGAGGAAGCCAGGCAGGAGGCAGAGCAGAGATCTCTTATAGACTAGCCATGTCAGACCTGCATAAGCTTCCAGGAGCCTGAAAACACCCTCCTTGTGCTTCTTTTCCAACAGGGTGCCTGAGCACCTCGTCAAGAGCATCACGTGGCAGACACTCCAGGCTGTGAACTTCTGCCACAAGCACAATGTAAGTCCCACAGACACTGGTGGTGATAGTCCTGGGGTGGCCTTGAGGGTGCATGTGTCCTGCTACCAGCTCTAGGGGCCTTCATCTGTCAAAGCTGGCCAGGCGACCTTCAGGTGTTGTAGGAAATGTGTTTCTGGAGCGTAGCCACATGCTCTTGATGAGGTTTGTTTGCTCAGGGTTCCAGACCTCGGGTTCACTGCCCGACAGTGATCGGAGCAGTAACTTGAGCTTGCCTTCCAGTCCAAAGAGCAGCTTACGGCAAAATGCCCATGTCACCAAGCCTGGCCGGAGCTGCAGAACACAGGCCTGGCATTAAGTAGCATAAAGCCTGATCCAGCTCCCATTGATTTCGGTGAAAGCCTGTCTCTTGACTTCAGCAGGCATTGGCTCGGACACCGGGTGAAAGGATACATGATTAAATATGCCAAGACTGTGGAAGGATCTGCAGAAATCCTCTGACTTCTGACCAGTGCTGTTAGTGACAGGCTGGGTAAAGCATGCGGTGGAAGCCTTTGGGGGAGAGGGGGACTTGATTGTTGGGTGGACTCCTTCCTTGCAGTCATATTCCTTCTTTTGCTTTGCCTGTCAAGGCCTGAGAGTGCAATGCAGGGCCGGAGACCTCTGGAGAGAAGATTTTGTCTCCATGTTGAACCACAGGAGTGGCAGCTGACCGGTCTGACTCACAGGACTGTGCACTTGCTCACTCTCTCTCCCTTCTGCTCCCCTCTTAATGGATGGATTTTGGAGACATGTGGAGTGTACTTCGTGGAGTTTAAAGCCAGAAGGAATCACTAGGTCATTGGTTTTAGCCTGCTGTGCATCACAGTATATGCATGTCACCTAAATACCCTTAGAGGACTGAATTATAAGCTGCTGCCTCAGGACAGATGAGACCACAGTGCTCCCAGACTGACTCATGCTTTATAAAAAGAAAAAAAAACCCACCCCAGGTCCTTGCCAATCCATCTGGGGGAAATCCAGATGTGAAGACCAGTTGGCCCTGGAGCACGTAGGCAAGGCGCACTCGCCAAGCATTGGAAAAAGGGGTTCTTGTGTCATTCAAGCCCTGCTGCAGAATATCCCTCCTGCAGGTGACTAGCTGGGCTCTGGCACACTCGGTGTGATCAGCCTGTATTGTGAGGCCAGGCTGCCAGTGCTGTGCATGCTGGGGCAGTGCAGGAAGCCCAGGGAGCGGCATGGCTATGAGGGAAGGGGGCAGGCCGGGGGTTCATAAAATGCACACGGCCAGTCCAGAAAGAACCACTACAACTTCCTCCTCTCAAGCCTTGGCCCTCTTCTCCCCACCCCTATACAAACCACAGACTTTTCCTCAGAGCACAGATGCGTGTCACTCCTCTGGCTGATCTTTGTTCTCAAGAATCCAAGTGAAGGTGATCCTGCTTCCCTCCCATTCTTAATTGGTCCCATACTCAATGCCCTCACTGCTAGGAAATTGCATCTTCTTTCAGGACTAACCTGGCATATATTCACTGTCTTCTAGTCTTCATCTTTTTCAGCAGGGTCAAAAGTCCCCCCCCACTGCCAGATCTCTCCTTCCTGTACAAGTACCGGGTGATGAAGTCACCAGCTTGATAAGCTGAGCTCTGTAAGCCTTGCCTTGTCAGGCTCAGCTTTGGGTGCTCAGATCACTTTTCAGGCCCCCCTTTGGAGTCTCTCCAGTGTTTCCATGCCAGGCATGGGCCCCAGGGTGGGGTGCAGGAGCGGTCTCCTCAACGTGGTGTTCTCAGGGGCAAGCTCCCTGCCACCAGTCCTTTCTTCCTCCAAGTGGAGTAGTGGAGTGCTCACCCCTGACCCTGCTGTCTGTTCTTGCAGTGCATCCACCGCGACGTGAAGCCGGAGAACATCCTGATCACCAAGCAGTCGGTCATCAAGCTTTGCGACTTTGGATTTGCTCGCATCCTGAGTAAGTGCTGGTTTCTGTGGCCTGTGCTAGAGCTCAAAGGAAGCATTTGCCTGGGCACCTACATTGTGGTCCAGACTTGCTTTGTCCTCATGTGACGTTTGTGCACGGCAACTCTCTTGTGAGGCTGGCTGGTGTTTACAAGGAAACACAGGTTGTGGGTGTGTTTTCACAGAAGAGTCTCAAGTGGGATCTTGAGAACCCCAAGCTAGATGTAAATGAGCTGACTTGGATGCCTGGGGCAGGCCAGCCTTGCCTGCACAGAGCCTGGCCTGGACTGCACTGCGGTCTCATGACTGCAGTGTGGGTAGACTCAGAGTCTCTGTGCTAGACTGGCCTGTTCTGCAAAAGGTCCTATCCCCTTGGGAGTAGTGGCTTCACTTTTCCTGTAACAGTAACACCCGCTCCCAAGCCCTGTGTCCAGTCTTGGAACATCTGGTCCAGAAAAGCCCCACACAGGCTGAGGTCTGGCTTTCACTGGGCAGCACCACAGGGCTGGTGTTCAAGGGTTTCCTCAGAGCAGGAGTGGCCGTGAGCATGCACAGCAGCTCTACCTCATGGCTTTCAGGTCGGTTACAGTCATTCTGCTGGTACCTGAAACGATGAACAAGGTACTTGCTGCACTTAAGAATCCTGACACCCCGGTCCTGTCTTTCCTTACCCCACTCCAGCTGGACCCAGTGACTATTACACAGACTATGTGGCAACCCGATGGTACCGTTCTCCCGAGCTGCTCGTGGGAGATACTCAGTATGGCCCTCCCGTGGATGTCTGGGCTATAGGCTGCGTTTTTGCAGAGTTGCTCTCTGGTGTCCCTCTGTGGCCTGGCAAATCAGATGTCGACCAGCTGTACCTAATCAGGAGGACACTGGGTAAGTGTCCCCTGGGTGATGCACTTGAGGTTGTGCTGATTTCTAACTCCTTGAATGGCATGATCGCAGAAATGGTGCATGTAGCTGCTACACAAGGCTATCATGATAAAGTCTGACTCCAACAGACCCAGAGAGGTAGGGGGGGTGTGTGTATTGGGAAACCCTCAAGTTAACCCCTCACAGCTGAAATCACCATTCCTTTGCTTTTGTTGCATTTTATTCCCTGTTAATGCAGTGGCCTGACCTTTGAGCCTCAGAAGGAAAGGCTGTGCCTGAGAGCAGCGTGATGATCACTGTGCAAATACACTTGAGCTTCCCGGTAACATGCCGGTGAGAGGTCCTGACTGAAGAGCAGCAATGACTATGCTAATAGAGACATTGCAGCTCCCTTTTCAATGAGCTCCAGCACCACATAGGTCATGGCAGACCCACTCCTGACAGCAACCCAGCACCAACAACTCCCACCAGCATGAATGGGCATAGAGGCAACCCTTGTGAGAACAGTATTTTAATGAGGGTCCCTTTATAAGCACATAGAGCTGGACAGGGACATCGAGTCAAGTCCCCTGCCACCAGTGTGACCTAGAGGAAGAATTCCTTCCTGAACCCATGTTTACTGAATGGTGTGACCTTGATTTCCAGCTTGACAGTCTATGATTGGAAGGACAAGATCCTTCAGCCAGGAATCTCTGGGTTTTCTAAGCAGTGGTAGGAGCACCAGTTAATCCCAGTAATCTTGGAAGTGGCCAACCTCTCAGTGCTTCAGAGGGAGGTGAAAAAAGATTCTGTATTTCCTGTTGCCTTCAGTGAGAGGGGATGGTTTTCCTGAGCACCTCTTGTTTAGGGGCTCTTTACACATGTGATTGCAGGTTCATATGTGCAGGGTGCCAGGTGCTACCCAGGCATTCTTGCAGCCATTTTTAAAGGGCTTACATTAGTAATTCCATTGCCAAATCATTTTTCCAGTCTCTGGAAGCGATGTCAAAGGGTGGTTTGGGTTTTTTTTTTTAAGGGGCTGCATGAATCATGTGGAAACGTGGAATTATGAAGGTTGCTTGCTCAAGTTAGAAAGCTGATTGTGGTTCCATTGCCTTTGGAAACCCTTCATATTTGCCCATCAAGCATGTTCAAGAGATCAGCCTTTGCTGGAAGAAATACTTCCTCACCGGGAGTGACTCTGATGTTCAAAGAGGTGACAACAAATGTTGAGTATTGTTTTAAGCCCCAAACCTGCAACCGGTTCCACACTTTGACCAGGTTTCACCTGCATGGAGCTCACCGGGCCTTCCAGACCTTATAGCGCAACATTCAGTGAGTTAAGGGTGCCCATGGAGGATGGAAATGAGGGCACATGATTTACATACATGGGCAGCTTTGCAGGCAGGGGACACTTGTGGTGAACACTGCCCAAGCTGGCAGCGCAGCACCCTCTGTCTCCTGCCAAATGAGGGATAGGGGCTGAATGTTGTGATCTGGTCATGAACAGGTTCCTCATGGCTTTGGTTCCTCACAGCCCTGGAGTCCAGATCACACTGTGGGAGCAGCAGTTGGGAACTCCTTTTTAGGTCCCCGAAGCAGGTAAGAATCCCCCAGCTCTTGGCACCCTCTCCCTTCCCCTCCATGATCAGCAGCATCTCCCTCCCCTCCACAGCTACTTCTTGGGGTTCAGGTAGGGGAGACCCACCTGGTGCTGCTGCTGTCCCTAGCTGACACGTGGGTGGGGGAGCCCTACAGCTGCTCCTGCCCTGCTCTAACCAGGCTGCAGGGAGCAGCTGCATGGGGAGCTGAGCTCCACCAAGGACAGCAGTGGTGACAGGTGGGTCTCCATTTCCTGTGACCCAACAGGCATAATTAGAGAGAGAGCGAGGGGAGTGAATGGGAGGGGAGGGAAGGTAGTGCTGAGCATGGAGAGGAGGGGAAAGGGTGCCAGGAGGGAGGGTTTTTACTTGCTTCAGGGACCTAAAAATAAAGTCCCTGGTTGCTATTCCTGTGGTAGGGTCTGCCTGCCTTTGGTTGAGGGGGAAAGCTGGGAGTGGGGGTGCAGCACCCCCTTTTATAAAATCCTGGATCTGCCTGTTCTGTGGATTATTTGCTCAAGGCCTTCCCTTCCCCCTTAGATACCTCAGATTCCTTGAAGATTCTCCCCTTGGGATCCCCTTTCGACCTCAGAGTGACTTTCATATTTCAGTGTCTGTGCTTCCCAGGGGCTCTGGATGCAATTCTCACCCCTCTGGCCCATCTAGGCTTCTCAGTGTGCCTGTCACAGTGGTACCTGAATGCCCTGGGCCTAATCCAACATCCCTGTGAATTTCTAACCGAGTGCTGTGCTGTTGCTCAGGCCACTGCTAACTTGGGCAGAGGCTGGCAACAGTATGACAGGAGCTGTTCTCATGGGTCCGGTCCCTGGATCCCCCCACTCTCTTCACAAGCATTCGGGGTAGGCCTGAATGACCAGCGGGTCATCCTGGCCAGAGCTTTGTTTTCAAGGATGGAAAATTATATAGGAGCTTTTCCTTAACGTTTAGCAAGAGTTTTGTTCCCTTTACACCGCAAGTTCTCTGGCACAGATGAGATCCACCTCTGTTTTTACCATTAATCTGAACCACGTCAAGGTTTGAGACAGCCCTGGTATTTTTCCAGGAAGAGCAGTAAGCTCCCTGCCTCTGTTAAAGGAATAATTGGATTTGGCTTATCGCCCTGGGGGAGAAATTCCAGGCAAATCCTGCAGAAGATTAGGGATACTTTCATATTTTGTAAAAGCATCTTCAAATGCAAAGGGAGACACTTCGAACAGCTTAGGGTTGAGCTTCTCCCAGCTGTCAGCTGTTTTGCCACAAAGGAAATCGCAGGAGGTTTTGGATGTGGAATGGGTTTTTTTTTTTTAAAAAGCTCGGCGTTCATCTGTCTAGTTGGACTTCCCTTAAAACTCTGCAGTATGGACTAAATTTGCTCTTATTGCTTCTGTTTCACGCTGGTACGTAGCAGGCACAGAGCCGATTCCCAATTCTGGGTGGAGGGAACAAACCTGCTTTTTAATTGTAGTGATTCTTGAATAAATCAAGATTCATATTTTCTGTGGGACAATTTAGAAAACTGTTGGCCTATGAAAAAGATCAAGGAACTAACACACGTGCTATAAAATACACACAGTTTGATTGCTGTGTCCTTGAGTCCTCTCATGCAAGCTTTAAGTCATTTACTCACTTTTAATAATGGGGTTTCAGCTGAGAAGGATTTCCCTGAGCTTTGGAAAGGACTCTGGCTGAGGCAGGAATTACAGAGAAGAAGTAGCGCTGATGTACTAGCTTCTCAGCCTTTTGGCTAAGATCAGTGTAGTGTTACACTGGCTCTCCTTAGTGGCTTGACAGCTTGTTTGCTGCCTGCTGCTCTTTCCTGAATGGAAAGGCTTTGCAAGAAGTTTGCGAAGCCCCCTCGGGGAAGCCTCACATTAGCACCTTCCTCTCTGTGCTGCCTTTCAGCCCATCCTGGCTCCGGAGAGCCCCAAAGGAAGTTTAAAAAAAGTCATCTGATTGGAAGGAGCCTGAGCCTGTGCCCTGCCAGGGGTCAGGAACGGGGAGGAGGGGAGGCCCGTTGTTAGGAGCAGAGCATTTCTCAGGAAAGCTTGGCTTTGAGAGTGCCAAAGCACAGCATCAGTGCTGAGAACCAGGTTGGCACGACAGTCCCTGCCCTCCTAGTGAACAAAGCAGGCCCCGCGCTGCCAGCCCAAAACAAACAGCGGCTCTTGCCAGCTGTTCATCGGGACGGTGGACTGTGCCATCTGGTCCCAGTGCCTGTCGGTTCGTCTTGCCTGAAACGCTTTCAGGCATCCCCAACGGTCCCGTCCCTTGGAGAGCCCTGGACAGGCTGACGGCAGGCAGGAGGCTGAGCTTCCCAGCTCCGCTAGCCTGATCTCACAGCTGCTCGTGCAGCACCCTCTAGCTTCTGCACTGTCCGCACTCCTGCATTTCTGTCCAGCCAGTGCCAGAACTGTGTCTAAGAGCACAAGCGGGACGACAACAGCGGTATTGATGCCTGTCATATCTGTGTGTGTAATAAAGAGGGAAGTACCCCTGCTATTACAAAGTGCTTCACGTTACAGTAGCGAGGTGTCTTTTAGGCTGCAGGGGTCGGACTTTGCCGACACAATGTAATTTCCAAAGAGGTGTTAATACCCAAACTGGTTGTGACTGGGTGGCAGAGTGTGTAAGGAGAGACATAGTTAGCCGTGTGGGAGCCCAGACCATACCGCATGGATAGGATCTGGTGCTCCTACTCTGAAGGTGTTATCACTTCAGCGTAAGGGGAGTTCCCATTAGCAGTATAGGGGCAAGGGCACACAGCCTGACTCTGTCCAGCAGAGCTAGCCAGCTCAGTGCAGTAGTGAGGTTTAAACATGTCTGGTGATCGAGACTTTTAACGAGGGAAGTGCAGAGGGGAAGATTAGTGCTCGTCTCATTACTGATTCTCTCAATGCCGGCATGTCGGTGTCAGACAAGGTTCCTTGGGTGAATCTGATATCTTTTATTAGACCAACCCAAATAGTTGGAAAATAATTATTAAGCAAGCTTTCGGGTTCAAAAACCCTTCATCAGGCTAAGGAAGTTTCAGTAGTTGGTGTGTGCTTAATTAAGCTTGCTTAATAATTATTTTCCAACTATTTGGGTTGGTTTAATAAAAGATATCAGATTTACCCAAGGAACCTTGTCTGCCTGTGTCCTTAGACCAACACGGCTACAACCTACACTCCTGTGGCATGTCGGTGTTAAACTTTTCCCTGCATTGCTGCAGACTAAGCTTGTAAAGTGTGGGCACTGCTAACCTGGGCATGCTAACCTGCTTGTTTGTATTCTTGATCAAAGGGGACCTCATTCCCAGACATCAGCAAGTATTCAGCACCAACCAGTTCTTCAGTGGGGTAAGGATTCCAGACCCAGACAATATGGTAAGGACACTCTGCAGACTCCTAGCAGTTGAGTCTAACGCTACTCAGCAAGTCGCAGGCTGTGCTGTAGAGATCACTGTATGTGGCTAGAGAAGGGTTTTCTGGGGTGGAGAGCTCAAGTGTGGTTCCCAGAGCTGTACACTGAGTTATAGCTAAGCAATAATTGGAGATGTCGACCATATTCTAGGGGATTAATGACCTCCTAAAGCAACAGGTGGCCCAAGCTGCAGTTCAACCTGTTAGTGTGCCCTGTGCAAAGCCCCACACCAAGCGGGTTGTCGCTATTGTAGATAGCAATTAACAACCACAGGCACGTGTCCTGGAGAGGAGAACTTCTCCCACGCTGTCATGTTCAGCTCAAAGATTGAGCTTGTTAAAATCTTTGTAGGCTTAGGGCTATAGACAGACCCCAGCAGCTACGTTTGCTCTCCTGCTGTACAGGATTATTATTCTCCACTCAGAGGCTTTGCCAAGCCCCATTTTGAATGGATCCTGGGTGGAGAGTCTTGGCACATCTGCTTTGAACAATATTTTGCAGGACTAGCTCGCTCCAGTCTGTTATTTTTAACCTGACATTCAGCATATTTCCCTCTGGTCGTTGTCATTCCTTTGCTGTCCCAGCCCCTGCCCTTAATGACAGGCCAGTTCCAGAGCAGGTGTCTAAGCAAGCAGCAGAAGATGCATCATGGTGTGGGAAGCGGGTCATGTAGGAAAGCCACTCAGTTTGGGCACCTGATCCCTGAAAAATGTATGAATAGAATGGCACTTTATTTTTGCAGGAGCCACTGGAGGCGAAATTCCCTAACATTTCATATCCTGCTCTAGCCCTGATGAAGGTAAGCAGACGACAGGCAGTGACGTTCTGAGCTCATCCGTAATGAATGTAGAGAAGCTAAAGAGGTGGCTTAATCCTGGCCTGCAAACACCTGCTCTAGTATTTAATTAATTGATTTAGTATTTAAGTATAATATATATATTTAAGACTTTTGAGAGCGGAGGGCGTCAAGCAGAAAATGAAATAATGAGAACCACCGATTGGAAACTGAAGGTGAACAAATTCAGACTGGAAATAAGGCATAGGATAACAGAAAAGTAGGGCCTTGTGAGGTCATCTAGTCCAGCCCCCTGCTCAAGGTAGGATCGTCCCCGACTAAACCGTCCAGCCAAGTGTCTGTCCAACCTGCTCTTGAAAACATCCAAGGCCGGAGATTCCACTTCTCTAGGCAGTCTGTTCCAGTGCTTGGCCACCCTCGTAGTCAGAAAGTTCCTCTTCATCTCCAATCTCAATTTCCCTTACTGCAGTTTGAGGCCATTACTCCTAGTCCTCAAAGCCCCCTATAGCCATAGAGAATGGGCTGTCTCCATCCTCTCTGTATCACCCCTTGGGGATTTGAAGACTATTATCAAATCCCCCCTGTCTTCTCCAGATTAAATAACCCTGATTCTTCCAACCTTTCCTTGTAAATCATGCTTCCTAGGCCCCTAATCATTTTTGTTGGTATGCAGTGAGAACAGTTGGACAACCTGCGTAAGGACAGGGTATCCTCCCTCGCGTGGAGTCTTGATTTACATTAAGGTTGAATGTCTTCCTGAAGGATCTGCTCTAGCTCACGTGGAAGTTGTGGGCTGGATGTAGAAATTACACAGGATGTTTTGTGGTCTGTAATTTATAGAAAGTCAAACAAGATGGTCTGTTCTGGTAGGAGATTCTGTTAATTTCTTTCCATGTTGCAGAAGTAGGAATTATTCAGTGTTAACCCCTTGTGTGTGTGCGTGTGTGTGCGTGCGTGCCATGGTTTAGGGAATTCTGTGGTGACTGTTAACACTGGCACCTCCAGAGGCCTGGAGCTTGTTCTTTTTAAATGGCATGTTCGTTAAAACCAGCTGCTTTTATCAGCCATCCTGCAATGAGTTGATAAGCGTTGTACCGTTCATCCCTGTGTGGTTCTCTACTGTTTTCTAAGGGCTGCCTTCATATGGACCCTGCTGAGAGACAAACCTGTGAGCAGCTACTGCAACACCCATACTTCGATGGCATTAGAGAATCAGGAGAATTGGGAAAGGAGCATGAAAAAGCTGCTCGGAAGCCAGCCAGGGCAACACGAAAGCACATGCCAGGGGTAAGACTTGTCAGCAATAAATGTACCATGCTTAGGAAGGGAGCTGGTGTTCTTGTAGCTTCTAGCACGTGGAGTTTAGTTTCTCACACCTGCAGTGTCTCAAGATAAGGACCCCTAAATCAGACCCAGCCATCCAAGGGCTCCCCTTTGCTCCTATGGCCCCGGTTCCCACAACAGCTTTCTTCCCTGCTGAAACTTGATGGTAATCGGAGGGTTGTCAACTTGGGACGTAGCACATTTCCTAGCTGCTGCCCATTCATATGTTCTAAGACTAAGCCAATTCCCCCAATCCTCTGCCACGTGATCGATGGATAAGACCCATGTTCTTCTTGCCCTAGGTAAGTGGAAGGAGCTGAGTTACAGAACAACAAATAGTACATACCTGAGCAACGTCTCCAGAAGTGTATAACTATTTTATGTGGGGCAGATGTATTTGATTGGATTAGCCTGCTTCACATTCCTATGAAAGCACAAACTCTGTCCTTTCTTCTTTAGCTACAACACCTTCCTCAGTTAACCAGCAGTAACGTGTTACCAGCTTTGGATAACAAGAAGTATTTTTCCAACACAAGAAAACTGAACTACCATTTCCCCAACATCTGAGAAGATCCAGGCCACTACTGACAACTAAACTACAAGCCCTCCAGAATTAAAAAAAAAAAAAAATTGAGGTGAAAAACTAAACTGACATAAACGCTATGATATGGATGTGAGTGATCTGTAAAGCTACTTGTTAGGGGACATCAGAGGAAGGAAAATCCTGCATAGAGCGTGCCCAAAGCTGTTAATCAGTGTTCTGTGTACAAGGAAAACACTGTTATGTTGCTTTTATTTGTGATTGTATTGTAGTTTGGGATTCCTGGGAACCAGTGCTTACAGTGTGTGACACTAATAACGTGCATCTACTGCCTGTATTGAAGACTTTGCAGTCAAATCACGTGCATGCCAAACAGGTTTGTTCCAGAAAGCCCTGTTCTGTCAGAGTGGTAAAATAAACCAGTCTGTGACTGTATTACAAAGCAGGAATAATAGATCCAGCAAGGAATAGATCCAGCAAGGACTCGTGCACAGGCTGCGCTGCGTTCCTGTGAGCAGGGAGTCCTACCTGAGGAACCTGCTACGTTCTGCAGGACTGGGCCAGCAGGCTGTCGTGCTAACTGCATCAGCCACTCGTTTGGATGAACTTGCTGAAATCCAAGTATTTGTAGTGTTGCCCCAGGTTGTGCACTTCAGATAGGAAAAAGAGCATTAGAAAGAGCCAGGATAAATAAATGTAGCAGAATGCCCCGCAGGCAATGTTATCACTTGTGGAGAGAATAAATGTAATTAATAATACCATGGTCTTGCTTTAGACTAGATTTTACAGGACTCCTGCCTCTGTCTTCTTAGCGTTATCCAAGAGGCAAGGATTTCTTAGGGCGATAGCTTTCTATTGGACCAGCTGCATAGTTGGGAGAGTTAGATAAGCTTTTGAATGCAAGATACTCTTCATTGGGTCTGAGCAGCTAAAGGCTGCAGAGTATAGTATTATCCAGTGGTTTAATTTGATGTTTTGCTGTTGACCCAGTCGTTTCTCTGTAACTTTGCAGGTGTTGATATTGCCCAAACAATCCCCGAGACCTGTTTAGGAAGGCACAGGCAGGGAGTGCTCCTCAGTAGCTACCTTAGAACACATCTCATTTCTTTGGGTCATCTTGGGATGTAATATTTTGTTGGGTTTTAATAGAATACAAGTAACTTGTCTTTCTGACATAACATGTGTCTTTATGTTTGGTAAGTGTACACAGTGATGTATGTACATAGAACCACTTCAGGAGTCTTTAACAGCTGTTTGAAGTACAGAGCGAGAGGCGCGTGTTCTTTTGAATACTATAGGTATAATGCATTTGAAATATTTGAGACTCTCTTAGTGAGGCAGATCATGTATCCTCACACAATTAAATGTCTACTGAACTTTCTATTTGTATCCTCATATTGGAATGTTCAAATTCCTGGACTAATACAGCTAATGTATTTTAATCTTGAGCATTGTTCCACGTGTATTTTTGGTCATATCCTTTGGAAAAGAATATAAATATCTTTTTGCAGGAATACCAGTTGTCCAGTCTTGCACTTCTGCAGTTTAACAGAGCAACCACGCTCTAAAAGTACATGCTGTTTGGGCCATGAGGCAAATCAAGGACCTGACCCTGCAAGATGCAGGCTGTACTGAAGTTCCAGATCTCAGACCCAGTCTTGCTGCTATCATCTGCTGAGCAGCAGAAAGTGGCTAAGGCTCATCTCGCTCAAAATGTGGTCTCTGGTGGTGGCTAGCCTCTGATGCTGTGGAGGAAAGCAAGGGAACCCTAGAGCTGGAAGATGTGGGATTGTTTCTGTCCTCACAAGGTCACATCTTGGTCTCTCAGTTAGGGTTGGACTTGTATCCAGAAGCAAAACTACACATATTTGGGGTATCTGGACCCCGGTGATCTCCCCTGTACTAATGGAGTGTGAGACGTTCTTTGAGAATCAAGATTATTTTATTTGGATTCCCCTAGTAGCCAGAGGCCCCAGGCAGCACGCCATTGTGTTAGGTGCTGTACAAACACAGTGAAAAACACTGACTTCAAAGAGCTTATGATCCCAGTGGAAACAGATGGGGACAAGTACAAGGATGCAGCGAGGTGGCGTTCGTCAGCAGGATCACCCTCAGTCTCAGTATGTCAGCAGCCTACAGGTACAATGTACAACCTACAGTGTAAATGCTGCTTAAATCGTTGGCCAGGTTCTGACGATCTCCACCCGGGAGTGCCGAGGGAATTAGCAGAGGTCAGAAACTTGTTCTGTTGAAACCAACTGGCTGATGCTAGGGTCCCTTAATGACCCACTGGCATCCTTCACTCAGTTCAGAGTACAGCCCTCCATCGTGTGTCATGTGGAATCTGATGAGTTTCCATTTACAAAGTTACTGCGCTCTATTTTAGTATGCTGCTTTTCATAATAAACAGCATCTTTAGTTTTCCCCAATCATACATTTTAAATGTATTAGTTAGTTAATGAAATCCCCCCCTGCCCCAGGTAAGGATGCATCTAAAGAGCAGAGCCATTCCCAGCTGCCTCAAGCTTTTGGTGGTTTTGGTGTGGGCAGCAGCTGGAAGGGCCTACATTTATTAGCTGTTGCCTAATAAAATTACACTGGCTCTTCCCACCTGCCCCACGGGTCCTCAAAGACACCCCTTCCACCTTCTTTGCCCCACTAAGTGGTCTCCTGTGGCCCTAACATCTTTTTTTTTCAGCTGAATGGCAGGATTTTTAACCAGTGACACTGTCACTGGACTGAGGTGAAAGTCAACTGTGAGCTGGAGCAGACAAACAGAACATCTATTGACTAAAACCAGGTCAGTGTAGTTTCCCTGGGGCCAGGCACACTGCCTCCAAAATACTTATTAGCCAGCCTTTGTAGAGAAAGGCTTTCAGATGTTGTTCAGATGGGAAAAACAGTTGTTCTCCATTCTGCTTTCATGTACAGTGGGACAGACCTGGCACAACACAGTGACTTAAAGGAGAGAAAGTCACTGTGGACTTTCACGCTAGGAAATCTGGTCGTCACACCAGACAGCAAAGCTAACCTATTTAACAATTTCTTTGCCTCCATTTTCCTGAGCAGGGACTGGGTCACCCCCCCACCGGGACCCCCGTAGGCCCCAAGGGAGGCGCACCCAGGCCTAGGGTCAGCGAGGACCTCATCAGGGAACTTCTGGAGGGCCTGGACGTGTTCAAATCAGCTGGTCCCGACGACCTCCACCCCAGAGTGCTGAGGGAATTAGCAGAGGTCATTGGGGGACCCCGGCACACCTTTACAAGCACTCGTGGTGCTCTGGCGTGGTGCCGGAGGACTGGAAGAGGGCTAACGTGGTTCCCATTTTCAAAAAAGGGAGGAAGGAGGACTCAGGAAACTATAGGCCAGTTAGTCTTACCTCGATCCTGGGTAAGCTTTTTGAGAGAGTTATCCTGGCGCGTGTCCGCGAGGGGCCGGCAGGGGAGGTGATGCTTAGGGGCAACCAACATGGGTTCATTCGAGGCAGGTCCTGTCAGACCAGCCTGGTGGCCGCCTACGACCAGGTCACCAAATCCTTGGACGCAGGGGTAGCAGTGGACATATTTCTGGACTTCAGGAAGGCCTTTGACACGGTCTCACCCCATTCTCATTAAAAAACTAGGGGACTGTGGCGTCGACACCTACACAGTCAGATGGGTCACTAACTGGCTGGAGGGCTGCACCCAGAGAGTGGTGATGGACAGGTCTTATTCGACCTGGAGGGATGTGGGCAGCGGGGTCCCCCAGGACTCAGTCCTCGGACCCGCACTGTTCAACATCTTCATCAGTGACTTAGACAAGGGGGTACAAAGCACCCTGCTCAAATTTGCTGACGACACTAAGATGTGGGGGGATGTGGGCACGCTGGAAGGGAGGAACAGGCTGCAGTCGGACCTAGATGGGTTACAGGGGTGGGTGGATGAGAACAGGATGGGTTTCAACACTGACAAGTGCAAGGTGCTGCACCTGGGGAGGAAGAACCAGCAGCAGACCTACAGGCTGGGGAAGTCCCTTCTCATCAGTGCAGAGGCAGAAAAGGATCTTGGAGTCATTGCTGATGTCAAATGAACATGGGCCGACAGTATGGGGACACGGTCAGGAAGGCCAACCGCACCTTGTCTGCATCCACAGATGCATCTCAAGCAGGTCCAAGGAGGGGATCCTCCCCCTCTATGTGACACTGGTCAGGCTGCAGTTGGAGTACCGCGTCCAGTTCTGGGCACCGCACTTCAGGAGGGATGTGGACAGCATGGAGAGGGTCCAGAGGAGGGCCACCTGCATGATCGGGTCAGCAGGGCAGGCCCTACAAGGAGAGGCTGAGGGACCTGAACCTGTTCAGCCTTCACAAGAGAAGGCTGAGGGGGATCTAGTGGCCTGTTACAAACTAGTCAGGGGGGACCAGCAGGCATTGGGGGAGTCCCTGTTCCCCTGAGCACTACCAGGAGTGACTGGAAATAATGATCACAAGCTGGCAGAGGGGAGATTCAGACTAGACATCAGGAGGCACTACTTCATTGTCAGGGCAGCTAGGACCTGGAACCAACTTCGAAGGGAAGTGGTGCTGGTTCCTGCCCTGGGGTCTTTAAGAGGAGGTTAGATGAACACCTTGCCGGGGTTGTTTGACCCCAGTCCTCTTTCCTGCCATGGCAGGGGGGCGGGCTTGATGATCTGCTCAGGTCCCTTCCGACCCTACCAACTATGAAACTATGAAGATACAACCCAGGAAAGGTTTGGAGAGTACTAGTTTAAGAGAAGAAGCAAAACCTGCGTGGAGTAAGGAGGAGCCGGGGGGAGGGGACACACGACACGACAAGTTTTTAGATTTACCCTTTTGGAATTTGGCTCCCAGGGGTCTTTACCAGCATGCAGCCAGGATACAAGCAAAAACCTTCCTTCCTTGTCCTGTTGATTCCTGGATAGCCCTTCTCTCCCCTAACACCGATGCCGAGAAAGGAACAGTAAAAACACGACAACCCTTCTAAAGATAGATCATCTTCTTAGTTAGCAGCAATACAAAGTATTTGATACTAATTAAGTCATTTGGTGTGCAGACAATTTGTTCTAGGGTAAGGAGAAGGCGTCATTCAACCCACAGTGATCTAAAGCAGCGGTCAGCATAAGAACACGCTCCAGAAAATCAAGTTTTGCAGAGAAAAACCTATTGTGTTCAGCACACACCCTGCAATCTATCCACATGTGAAGAAATAAACAGCAAGCTATCTTCCCCACACCCACTAAGTAAGGCCCTCATTCGGGTAGTAAATAAGAGGTGACAAAAATCATTCTGGTACTGTCTAATTCTTTAGCAATGGCACAAATGTATGTTCTGCATTCAATTAGAAGCCTGTGGCACATTTAAAAATAACTAATTTGTTCATGAGAGCACAGATTTTAAATTTATATTCTCCTTTAGCAGACAGGTATGTTTTCATTTTTCTTCAAGTTAGCTCGTTCAGTGACTCCAGAACTTAAAATTCCACGTACGTCTTCTCGGTTGTATTTAACTGACAGAATAAATTAAATTTAATGAAATCTAATTATGCAGTTAGTCAGGTTTTTTAAATAGCTGCAGAGGCCAGAATGAGAAGGCTGGCTCTAGCAGGAAATGCAATACAGTGGCAACTGCAACATAATCAATACAATTCATGATAAATACAAAATAACGTACTTCAGTTATACAAAGCTGATTTTATTCTAAATCGAGTTTCACCTCCAGTGACGGCAGTGATTTCTTAAGGATTTGAACTGTAGTTTCTCTCTGTCTTATTGCAGGAAGGTCACTCAAGAATAAATATTCTAGGTTCCTATGAGTGGATGGAAAAAAAAAAAAAAAAAAAAAAAAATCAATAAAATCACTATGCAAGACAAAAGGTGATGGATTAAAAAAAACCCCAAAATACTTAATTGTGCTCACAAATCAGACCCAGGGTTAGACTGCTTAGCAGTAACAACAGTTAGTGGTTTCAAAGATAGCTTTGAATGGAACTGGTATTGGAAGAATAAGCGAACTATAGCTCTTACTTCCTTTAAGGCCTACATACTAAACTGATGCTAGGGTTGATGGGCTTCCTAGTATGTGTGTGTTAACTGAGACTATGAGAACTGTTTCCTTAGAGCAGTAGGTGTCAAACTCATCTGGCCCACAAGCTGCTGGGCCAGTGTCCGGGCTGCTCAGGCTGGTGCAGCACGGATGTTGCCTGCAGCACGCACCCCAGACTGACCAGCATCACATGCTGAGAGCCACAGGCTGGATCATAAGACTGTATATTTGACACCACTGCTTTAAAAGCAACACAACATACTGCTTTTGTCTTGTGTCAAAGACTGATGAGTGAAAGCATGTCAGCATAGTACATTTCAGTTACCTAACACAACTTAAGTGTGCGTATATGGCAGCAGCTGAGAAAGCAGGCCTCTGTGAGACACTCCCTCGGCGCTTGCGTACCTTAGCTTCTGGAGGGCTATGATGCCTCTGTCTGTGACATTCCCACAGGAAATGATCTCCAGCCTCAGGAGACTTTTCTGTAAATTCATAGTTTGACTCAGTCTCTGCAGACACTCATCCTGGATATATATACATTTGCACAGCTTCATTTCTTCAACATGTTCAAGACCATCTGAAAAAGACAAAAAGGCAGCTTCTGTTTCACAGTGCAAGGCCCAAAGTGTACAGTGCCAGTGAGCTTGCAATTGTCATTTGCAGGCTTGGTAACTGCAATGCTCCTGCAAACATGTGGCAATAAGTGTCTATAAGAGGAGGACCCACAAGGCACCATGAATGAAACTACCATTGCCTGCAACCAACTGTTTGTTGGCTTCACAGATGCAAAAGCACTGCTAAGGTTCAAAGGGCTTGGCTATGCAAGCGGGCAAACAGCAGATAAATAGCATGCGCGGCATGATGGAAAACCAAAGAAACGGAATTAGCCAGTGATGTCTGAAACAACTTGCAACGGGAAAACACTGAGCTTGTGCCCCATTTGTGCCCCAGTTGTGTAAAGGAAGGCTGGAAGGTTACTGCTTTTTTAAAAATTCTGCTTTTTTATATTAAAATCTAGTTTGCTTTCCCCTAGAGTAGCCCAGGGCTGACTAGAGAACTGGCAGTATTCTGACTTCAGATATCAAACATAAGAAGTCTGATTTAGTCATTCAAACCTCTGCTTTGTGTTAAGAGTTCATGGATAGACAGATGTTAACTGACAGATCTTTGGTCCCACTTTTTAGTGATCTTGCATCTTCAAGTAAAATCAGAGAAAGCTCGCAAGCCATTTGTGTTCTGGATAGAAACCCCAGCAAATTTAGAGGCACAAACAGAAATTTTTTACGTACAACATGGATAGATTAAAAAAATAAATAAATCAAGCCTTCCCTGCACCTTCGAAACAAAAAAAGCCACAAGTGGTTCATTTTTTTGAGGTGACAACTCAATGCATAATTTGCCAAACCATGACTTGTTTACCCAAATAGTCGAATCCTCTGCACATGATGCAGGACTCGGTGGCGTCAATGGCTTGTATCTTGTATTTCCCTAATGGCCCTGTTGGGAGACCATTGTAGTCACGCTGCCATTTTTCATAGCCTTGGAAACGCACCAGCGCCCCACACCGCAGGAGCCATTCAGAAGCTGCTCTATCAGGACCCACCGCCTGTATACGTTCATAGTCCACCCTGTCGATAAAGAAGAAACATCAAGGTCTTTTTATAGCAACATTTAACAACTTATCACCATAACAATCCTAATACTGAATACCATTTTTTCTTTATGTACAAGGAACAGGAAAAAAAGTGGTTTGCATTATTTTTAACCTGGTGAGCTGAGCTAATTCATATTTGCTTCAAATCAAGATTAATTTTGGCAGTACTATGAAGAGAAATATAGCTGTGTGATTTGTCATTCACAGACCCCTTCTAACTAATCTTTCCATTCTGGCTCTGCTCTGAATTTTCTGTCAACCCAGCACATTCAATGAGCTCACACTGTCCAGCATCACTAACCCAAAACTACTTTAATAGAATAAAATGTACGTGTTGGAAAAGTATAAACAGATAGAGAAGTCTGCCAGGAGGAGAGAAAACAGATCCAGATTTACAACAGCGGGAGATTCCCCCGCTACTCCCAAGTCTTTTTTGATTTGATCGTAAGTTGTAACAGATATTACACGCATTACACACGTGGGTTGAAATCGTTGGATCTGTTGTGTGACGGTGCTTCGGAGGGGTTGGTAAATGCTGGACAAGAAACATCATGACAGACAGGGACCTCTTCCCTGGGCCATTAGGTCCTATCCTCTGCTCTCACAAGCAAACATGTCATATAATCCTTTTCCAGAAAAAAATAGCAGACACGGTGCAAACGATGAGGGGGTTGACACTGATTTTTTGTCGAGAAAGAGTTAAACAGATGAAGCACTAATCCTTATTAAAATCTCTAGTGTAACCAAATTACACTAGTAAAGACAGTACTTTAGAGCTACCAGATACACACCGGAAATGTAGGAGGCTAGAGTTAAAACCTTCAATGCTAGTGGAATCAAAGTCACAGGAAGAGGGATATTTTTGGAAGAAAGAATTTAAAATTGGCAGCTAGTCTCAACCAAGAGAAATAAAACGACCACGCAGCATACTGAATTAAGCACATACTTTTCTCTGTAAGCTAGTGATTTTGTTACTAGAAAACGAAAGAGGATCTGACAATGCAGAATTTGGAAGAAAAGCACTTGTATTAGGAAAAAAGCTCTCTCCTGTCTTCCTGGGATTCGTGACTGGCTACTGTGCTTACACAGTAAGTGCTTTCCAATGCAATGCACGGGGACATGCATCCAATCTGTTGACACGTGAACTATTAAATACGTCTGCCTCTTTTTTCCTTACTTGTTAAAGACTGCATTCAGCCATCCCCAGAAGTGTCTGCACGTGCCCGGGGATGACAGTTTCTTCAGGCTGCGAGCTGGCTGTACGAGCTTTCCCAGCAGCATCGCGGTGCTTCTGAAAGAGATTTACCAACATGTCAATTCAGCGCCTCGGTTTTCTTGCAACTGGCCACATACATACAAAGCATTACAGGTGCTTTTCTTTATTATTCCTCAACATGATACAGCGCTCTGCGTCACTTAAACGGGAGGCATTGCTACCATTTTGGAGGCGACAGATGGCTGCCTGTCCTCAGACGCGTCCAAATAACAGGCAGCTGGACAACACTCAGGTACGAAGAACGAAATAGCAGGGGGAAATCTTCAGGTTGGAATGCAAAGTCGTTTTTGTTTTTAAAGCTCGTAGCATCCAAATGTAAGTAAATACTGAATAATTGATATTCGTAACCATACCAACAGCTCTCGTGATCCATTCAGGCTTCACAGCTAAAAAGGGCCGTGCTTGGATGAGAGGTCGGAGAAGTACAGGCCATCGAGAGATGTAACGGCATAGAGAATTCAGTAGATGACACTTTCCACTCAACTTGCATTAAGCCAAGGCCCTTAACGGGGCACTAGGCTTCTGGTTGTGCGACGTTTCAGATCAAATACCCGTGTACCAGGAGCGACTAACAGACAACAAAAAGTAGAGCTAAATTAATATAACCATCCTTTCTTCTGGCGCTATCCTGAGTGTAACAGCAGCGGTTTTAAGCGATAAAAATCCTTAAAAATCAGATTTCTTTAACACAGGCGCGTGGGTAAGAAGAGGCCTAATGCCTGCTGAAAGGACAGCCCGAGAAGCGGAGAATCTAACCTTTTCTTAACCTGGTTACCGTGAACTTTTGTATTTCAAGAGCCAGATCTGGCAACGTGCTGCCGATATCCAAGAAAACAGCACCTTAGAGACAGAAAGCACAGGGTCAAAGGGCTGCTGTTTCTAAGACGAAAAGCAGCGCTGTGGAAGAGCAACCGTCGAGGGGTCCACCGCGCTTATCCCGAGCACGGTACCGCAGAGATCGGTGCGAACCACGGCTCTCACATACCACGCGCACGACGCGCCGCGACACACAAGGAAGCGTTTCCCGGCATTTCTTTTGATCGGCCACGCGACGCCCTTGGGAGTTGACCACCGAGCGTGAAGAAGCACGAGCTTTCCTAGGCCGCAACCCGTCCATCGGATGCTGCGTCCGAGTCGGCCTTGCCTCCGAGCCGGTTCTTCTCTACGGTGCCGCCCTGCCTCGCTTCAAACCAACCCTCACTGCGCAGTGCCCCAGCTTCAGACCGGCTCCGCCAACCCCCTCGCTCCGCACCCACGTGGCGGACCCCCGTTATACAAACAGACGTTTTGCCTGTTGCTTTTAATTTGACGAATTTTCTTGAGTTTTGCATTGCCTGAAGACGCTCCATTTGGTATTGCTGCCTAGCACGAGGACCCTCGTACGCACGAGGGAACGGGCGAGAGCGCGACTGGCTCAAGAAGGCAGGCCGATAAAGGACCAAAACGAGACGAATCCGCCCCGAAACAGCGAGAGCCCGACGGCGTGCGGCCGTCAAGGAAGAACACAGCCATCGCCCAGCAAAAGCCCAGAGGACTGGCTAGAAAAGATAAGGCGAGACGGTGTGACGAGCCCAGCTCCCACTCATGATCCACTGGGCTGGCCACCGCCTCCGCCCGAGCACTGGCACTGTCCCCCTCTGCCAGGCAAGCAGTTAAACACCCTGAGTCCGGAGAAGAACAGGACAGGACAGGACAGGACAGGAGGCCCCGGCCCGCGCTCCCCTCACCAGCCGCGCCCCGCCTCGT